ATAATTAACGATATATTTTAAATTAAATAACGGTAATTCGAAATTCCGCATTTTTTGACTACGTTTTTGTTGTAAGATGTCGGATGAAGCTTCCATAAACTTTCATTGATATAAATAAGTATTACGGACTATAGACTAAATGAATTTATCGACGTTTTTTGTTTCCCTAATGGTCAATAAAGGTCTCTATAGAAGAAAGAATGTGAGATTAATATAGCTATCTTAATTTGTACCCTGTTAAATGTCATATGTATAAAGAGTTCAGCTATAAAGCCCGCTTTTCACTATGGGATATAATATTATATATATTACATCTCGAGATATAAATTAATATCGCTTACCATACTTTTAAATGGAAACGTTTACACTGAGCTATAATATATATTACATCTCAAAACATAAATATTTTTTCGATCGACCGAGTGATATTTTCATATTTTATTTCGCCACCTGTACCCCACACATCGTTTCAATTTTGTTCTTATTTTAAGACCCTCTATGCTAGTAATTACTCTGAGGTAAGAATCATATTAGTCTGTGTACTGTACACTACAGCTATGGAGTGTAGAGTAGAAGGAGGACCATCTCTGTATATGAAAAGTGTCCCTAAAAACGTGTCCAATAAGGGTGGCGCTGCAGTAGCATAGGATAAATTAAAAAAGAAGCGCCAAAAGTATTTAGAGTAAGATGGAGAAATAAATAAGGACCGATCAATCCGCTTGGTTTTGTACTACGTAAATAGTTGAGATTTTGTATATTGGCGTTTTATTAACTACTCTAGTCATGAAATATTTGAATTCAGCTGACTTCACTCCGTTCATAACAGCTATCTTCATATCGTAGTTTTTCAGACGCCAGCGCTATTGTGGTAGGTTTTGGAACCTCTATTTACAGTAAATAGTAGGACACTTTTTCAACCTTCGCTCCTTATAAGATGGTTCTCCTTCTACTCTACACTCCATAACTACAGCGTAACAGCCATGAAGCTATAGATAAAGATGGACGCCACACTTTGAACAACAGCTTGAGTCAAATACCTACGTATCTTTATCTCACTCTCTGTGGTCTGACTTCTCTTTTTAGTGTGGAATACAGTATTGCTATGTTTTTATTTAAATCTCCTGGTAAATTCTTAGAAATAGTTTCCACAATAACCAAATCAGAAGTTAAGCTCTGTAAAATAATGTTCCAATAAATAAATAGTTTAACTACGATTAGTTACATTAAAAATTCCAAAATTAAAGGTCTCGTATGCATTATTGGGTTAACGAATCAGTGAATTACAATCCCATTTCCTAAGGGTTCGGTAATGTGGCAACATTAGCCCTGTATGTCAACATAAATTGAAAAAATATGGAGGTTGTTTACTTAGCAGTTCACAGCGTCGTTTGAGATATTTAAAGGTAATTATTGTTATAATTTAAGAAATGGTGCAAACTTGTGTAGTACGTGGTTGCGGCAGTAGTTGGTGTCAAGGAGGTGATATAAGATTTCACACGTAAGTGTTTAAATAGTGACTTCTGGCATTGAATACTTGTAAACATACTTTGTATTTTCACTTAATTTTTTGCTGAAACGTTTTATCAGTGTTTTAAACATAGTAGTAAATTATAACTTTGTCAAAATCAAATAGTTTTACATTGAATTTAATTGACTTTGAACAATTTTATTGTTTTTGTTTATAAGAAATCGCACTGAAGTAGTGTGACCATATTGACGATGTATCTGAGACTTTCCGTGTGACCTTAACTAATTATATGTACATGTTTCTTATTATGTTACCGGAAATGCATGAAATTTAGGAATTATGTATAATTCCTATGTATTCTATATAATGAAGGATTTCATAGATTTCATAATATTAAATTAAAAATTAGTAACACAATATATTCTTTTGGCAGACAATTTATCTTTATTTAGTTTTTGTTTCTCATTATTCTGATACTTTAATGACGTTTACAATAATTACGAATATTTTTTTTAGATTTCCTAAAACAGTACTCTGAGAAATTTGTTGTTATCCAATGTACCATTGAAAATGAAGCATTATGAAAGTGCAAGGATTTGCAATTTGCATTTTCAAGAATCAGATTATGATTCAACAAGGCGCTTAAAACCAACAGCAGTTCCTACTGTTATAAGAAATCAAGAAACAGTATCATCAGGCAAGGTAAAAATTTTATATAATTTAATTACCTATTTTTCGTAATATATTACTTATTTAGAAATGTAGTAGTTTTGTCTTTGTATTTGTACATTTTGTAAAATGTGTTATCATTTATTTGCATACAACAAGTGCATGACATGAAGAATCTATTGTGCAAATAGCTTTTCTGACTGTAACAAGCACTAGTTCTGGAATTAATGAAAGTAGTTCTGCACTTAAGGAAACAGGAGTGAAATGTACTGGCTGTAATATTGAAGACCAAACTACTAAAAAACAATGTCGAAAAATTCTTGAAAATTTATGCAATGTGAACAAGTTACCTGTAAGTTTCCTTTTCCTTTATTACCAAATACATACCTTTTATTTGTATTTATTATGACTTTAATATTACATTACATAATGTAGTAGTAATATAGCTTAAAACACATACATATTTAAACTCTTTAGTGCCAGTCGCAGTGTGGTAACCGTCACTACGACACTAAGCATGAAGCAACTTGTTTGATGCTTCATTTATGCTCACGCGTGCTCACGAAGTCGCGCTCCGGTGTATTATGTGTTACCTATTAAGTGATGTAAATTTGTACGGACATTATACCAGTCAGATTTGAAAATATTTTTTTGCATTTTTAAAACCAATTCCTCAGGAAGGCTGTCTAACATCACGTTACGACCCTAATGAGCAGAGCAATACTATGTACGATGCTAAAAATACTGATTTCATAAAGTTTTCTTGTTTCTTAGGTCAGCAGTGAATACGACGACGTGCAAGTGAAAATAAAGTGTACTAAAGAAGAAATACTTGAGACGAAAACTAAGATTCTTAAGCAAAAAGTGGCGCGCTAAACTAAAAAAAATCAGGGTAGGTCTTCTTTAATGGCAACTATTAAAAAGTATACGGGTCAATCAGAAATTGAGAATATTTATTCAAGGGTGCATTGCTGATATCTGTAAGGACTTCAAAAAGCCACAGAGTTATCCACATGATGTGTAAAATTTCAATAAATAATTTTAATATGGAAAGTATTTTTATTTATTTTTTAAGGTTTTTTATATATTATCGTTCCTATTATAGTACATATGTTACTAGAAATCTATGAAATCCGTTTTTATATAGAATTCCTAGGAATTGTAGATAATTCGTAAAATGAACAGGATGTGTGGAATATAGAATTATACACATTTCAGATCAGAGCAGCCTGATTCGGATGGGTTAGCTCAGATATTTTTCTAAAATAATTGTCCAGAAATAGATTTAGTCTGTCTGAACAATAAATCAGGTATATATTGCCCAATTCATTGATCACCCGGGGTGTTATAATAAATTTTAATTTTATATTTCGTTGGTACCGTTTAGGTATTATATACAATAACCAGAAAATACATTATCGAAATAATAGTAATAAAATATTTTCTGATATATTTATTTTCCACATTTTCTAAATAGGCTCGGCATTAAATGGGTTGTAACGGAAATGCGTGGTCATATTTTAGATACCGGTTCTGCCCATGGAAATGAAAACCTTTCTTCATAAAACCAATTTCCCAAAAAAATTGTAGAAATATACAACGTGTAACAAAAACCCCGTGGTTCCCGTTAACTACGTCATCAGTCGGTATTCAAACGTAAAGAAATAACTTTTTTTCAAAAAACTTGAACATAAAAAAATTAATTTTAAGTAAAAAAAATTAATTTACAAATTTTATGTGGTTTTATTACCTCTAACTGACACGAGCATCGGCGAAGGTGGGTTTTTCCACAATCCTCTTATTATCCGGATAATGCAGAGGTAATAAAACCACATACAATTCGATTTTTTTTAAATTAAAATATTTTTTTAATGTTCATGTTTAGTTTTTTGAAAAAAAAAAAGTTATTTCTTTACGTTTGAATATTGACTGATAACGCACTTAACTTGAACCACAGGGTTTTTGTTACATGTTGCATATAGTCTATATAGGCTAGATCTTAGTAGTACACAGGATGTAAATATTTATAAATAAACCACTTAATGTAATGCAACTACTTATAGCGATATCCTGGGAAAAATAAAATAAAGGTTACCTACTTAGAAAGAGAGGGTCTGCCCACAGATAGCGAGATAGTAATACATAGGTTGAGCTTCAAGTAGGTATTCGGAGTGTGGTCTCTATCTTTATCTATAACTTCATGGTAACAGCGTAGTACGAGTACTATTATTTATTCTGTGACTACAGTCACAAAGGATTTTTGGCGGGAACTTGACCGGCGGCGGTTTGCTGCTCGTGTATTATTGTTTAAATAATGGTTTGAAGTGGATTTTAATATGTACCTATAAGTGGTGCGATTTTGTGTATTAAGTGTCTGCACTTATGAAATATTAGTGGAAACAGTGAAACAAGAGCTCCGATACCGATAGTGATGTGATTCTCAAGATAAGGTGTCTGTCTGCTTAAGCGCCTTGAGATACCATCGCCAACTGTCAGCTGTCTGCTGCCGTCAAAATCTCCCAAGTGCTGCACAATGTGACGCATCAACATATTGTGAAGCAGTAAAATTCTATATATACAAAATAAAAAAGACTAGGCTGTATGGCATAGTTCCTTTGCCGGCTCACTCGAGCGAATAATTGAAACAACAACAAAGTAAAAGATAAATAAATTATTTGATTTTATCGCTTCTTTTATATTTAATATAATCGCTTTTCATTTTGCTTCTAAACGACCATAGTTTTCTATATAATATGTACTTTGTTCAGTATTCACAAATGTTATCCGTGTCTCTGTGAAATCGAAGTTAAAATTTATTCAAAGTTATTAATTCGTGCACATAGTACAAGATAGAAATTATAACATGCAACGAGAAGAAAAGCAATTGGAAGCCACATTACATGCTATATTAAACAGAGTTAATGATCTAAAAAGTGCTATACAAGCACTCATAACAAAATTAGAAACTGAATACGAAACCATAAATTGGCCAACATTTCTTGATAATTATGCAATTTTATCTGGTCATGTAAGTGAATTTAAATTTTTGCAGTTTATTTTAACCATTTTGTGTTACATTACAGGAAAACCTTATAAAATGCTTTTTATTTCATGATTTCAATCAGTAATATAATAAGTACTTATGATATGCCTGTTGCAGACTCATTATCAGATTTCATCATGTAAATAATTTTTGCTTTGTATAAATAATATTATTAAATGGTTTATATCTCACGGATCTCTCTCCCCCATTTGACTTTGTAAAAAAAAAGTCCACATCATTTAGATGACATTTTAGTCATTAATATGAGGTCATTATATTGCTTAGTTTGCAACTGGCTGTTTTCCTCAAATTCAAGCCTGAAGCATGTATTTTTGCATGTTGGTAGGACTATAATTATTCGAGACAGGAAATGATGTCTGGATCTGCACATACCTGTAACATTTGGGTCGCCATTTCTTCTTCCCTTAATGTTACGTCCTGTACAGGGGACTGTCTTTAACACCTATTATAGTAAACTGGGACTTATTAAAAGAACCATGTCCGGTAATAGCACTTGTTGCTATGTGAGTCTCAAGTTTATTCAGTTGTATTAGCTTCATGTAGATGTGAACGATTGTTGCAGACAGGGCTTCTTAGCTTCTCTGCAATTTTCATGGTTTCTCTAAAGCTGAGTATGTTGCTTAATGAGGTTTACATACCTGTGAATGAACATGCCCAAAGATCATTGGTAAAATGTGTTCTGGCTCTAGGTCACTTAGTGCTGATCCTCCTCTGGCTAATTTGTCAGTCGCATTGTTACTTTTAGATCCACTGTGGCCTGTGAGTATGTAAGGTCACATTGTTGTATTTATAAATCTCATTTAAAAACATTCATGTATTCATAGCCCCCAAATCAATCACATTGCTGCACAGAACTAGTAGTACCTCCATGCTTTTAGTCAGTATTCGGATCAAGATGGTCATACTAGTTTATTTAGTGCTAAATGTTTTGTTTAATTCCTCTAATTACAATTATTATTCATATACATATGTATTATGCCATGTAGAATAATCAGCACCATCATTATAGAGTAGTAAAAATTGCAAAATCTAAGCTAAGCTATTTACGCTTTCACCCATGACAGCTTATGAAACAGTTGAACATAGTCCTCCCCTATTGTTTGCATCATAAGGTGGACTTTTCCGTAATTGCCATTCTTGGTAGGCATATTGGCAAACAGTTTTTTATAATTTTGAGTTGTTATCAGGCAGATGCTGCTTCGTTTTCCCTCTTTCGCCTCTTACGACACCTACAGGATTACACTACACTGTTGCTATATTCATTATTTTTGCTTGTTCTTCCAAGAGAAAATGTAAAAATATATTGTTTTTATTTTCACATTTTATGTAAAGTACCTAAAACAACTGTTCCGATGAGCGACGAGAGTCACGTCAGATGTCACACCATGAGTAATGCCTTGTCTAAATATAAGACACTTGATTTACTAGAACTCTAAATCGATGGGAATACATTTGAACACCAGAGTGTAGAGTGAAAATTCGTAAGATATTATGTTGAAACTAACACCTTTTATTTCAGCTGACTGGTTTGAGCAAAATTCTTCAGTCTGAAGTGGCTCCTTCATTGCGATCTGTTGTCGTACTCCCTTTGCAATTAGGTTGTGAACGAGATGAAGCATTAGCTCGTTTAACTGAAGGAAGGGTGCCTGCTTGTACTCATGACTTAGTGCCAGATTTGCTGAGAACTAAACCTGAACCTCAAGCAGAACAACGTCTTCAACAATTTAACCATAAAGCCAGTACACTTAGTCATGATACAGCACAGGTAAGAATTTTATAAGTTTGTTACGAGTATGTTGTCAACAAATATTCACTATTTGATGTCTATTGTTATGTTTCTTTTTTAAGTTAATTTACTAATAAAAGTTTGTTAATGCAGAAACAAGTTGCTCAATTTACAAAAGTCATAAGTCATGTATGGGAAATTATATCAAAAGGACGTGAAGATTGGGAGGGTGAATCTATGAGATCAGCAGGTAATACTTTAATGTCATTATATAAATTTTAAATTTGTAATGATTATTTGAAATCTTTGTTTTAAATGATTCTTCTATCATTAAATAGGTTACAGGTTTTTTTTTTCTTCTTTAATGTAACTATTTAAAGGGCATTCTTGTTCTAGATTGTTACTTTGACTCGTGATATTCCAGATTCCACTCAAAAGAGTAAAAACTGAACTTTTAAAAAATTACAAAATGACTAAGAGCTAAAAAGAATAAAATATTTTCCACACTAGATGTCGGGGCTTAAATTCTTTGATACACTCAAAGAATTAAAGCGTTAAAGCTTGTCTTAACACCATTGTCAGAAGTTGTAACTAGGAGGGAAAAATTTTCTTTCATTTTCTTGAGTTGCATTAATTTCGGTAATTCCATTTTGCACTTCTAGCATTTACTATTTAGATTATTTTCCAATAGAAACAAATCCTTTTCATTGATACTTTGTTAACTGCTGGACATGTAATTCAAGTGAAGAATACTGTGATGGTAGACACTAGAGTTAAGTTGCGCACGTTCCCGCGCTTGCGTCGCAAACCGCACCGCGTTATATACGTATTATGTAATCTGTAAATATAAATGAATAATATGTAATATTGAAATAACTGGCTTCTATTAAGCTCAGGGGGTATTAAGACATAAATAACAATTTATTAAAACAATCTGTTTGTCCGGGCTAAACTTCGAAGTAGAAGAATAGTTGCTTGGCGAAATACATTTTTCGCATCTGGTGGATAACGCTTTCATACCGCCAAAAAATTATTCCGTTTCTTTGCCCTCAAATTGGCTTTCAATTTCAACAGCCCCTTCATTTCATTGTCATCGATAAATCTACGATCTCGTAACTCATTTTTCAGATTGGAATAAAAAACCGTCCAAGTGCGAGTCTGACTCGCGCATTAAGGGTTTCGTACCATCGTAAAATAGTCTACTAGAAGTAGAGGAACCTCCTTTAATTTATTTTTATTATTTGTTGTTATAGTGGCAACAGAAATTCACATTCCGTGAAAATTTCCAGAGAAACGGACAGTGGAAGCTTAGTAATAGGGTCCCGATGGTTACCCTTTGGGTACGGAACCCTAAAAAGGAAATAATCGCTGGGAGTCAGGTATGGTCTGTAGCGTGGGTGGTCAATTTCCGAGAAGCTATCCTTCAGGGCCTGCCTCGAAATTGGCGTCGCTTCTGTACGACTGCATTTTATGGGCCAATAAATTTGCGTAATATTGTTCATTAATATTAGTCCCTTTTGGCAGCTAATCAATCAGCAAAACACCTTTGCTGTCCCAAAAACTGTCACCATAAGTTTTGATGCCGACTTTTGAACCTTTCATTGCTTCGGCGGCCTTTCTTTTTTCTTCCATTGCATGGACTGTTTGGAGTCCATATCGTATTGGCGAACCCAGCCATTTACGGTTACAATCAGATCGCACATTTCATCTAGATTGCTCTGACTAACTCCAAAAGTCTATACTAGTCTCGAGTCGCCGCTGTTAGTCGGCGTTAACATTATTGATACCCAACGCGCATTGATTTTTCTCATGTTGAAATGCTTGTGTATAATTTCTCCAACCCGTTCTTTGATATTCTGCAACTCTTCGGCTATCGGCCATATTTTATTCTTTAGTGGGCCAGTACTATTTTTTCGACTTTTCGGACATTTTCCACCGTCACTACTGCCACAGCACGCCCTGGGCGGATATCGTCTTCACAGCTCTCGTGTAATTGTTGAGGATAAATATAAGTTACTTTACTTATCTTCACGCACAATACCTGACGGGGTAGCCAGAGAGAACAGATCGCCAATTTAATTAAATAAAACACATAAAACGGGTAAAAGTGATGATTTTGTTCCAGAGATATTAATCAATTTGACTACTAATTTTATTCCGAACATTAAAATAAAACTTTAATCAACAGCCATAGAACAAACTTTACATCAATGACAAATATTTTATCAGCAATGTGTGCTTTCTTAATGAAAAAAAAAACCTTCAGGCGACTTGTGGCTCTTAGCAATGACTTATTATCTCACTTGTGTTAGCACTAATTGCGCTATTCCTTGGTAGTACAAATATAATCTTCTTTCGATTATAGTCATTCAAATTATCTGTCGAAGAACAAACGTCATCATGTCAGTCGATTCGTCAAAATGGGTTATTCCGTTTATCCACCCTAGGGTGGATAGTCGGAAACGCGTGTTCGTTTATCCACACCAGACGGGGTGGGCAATCGTAAGTCGTATATTATTTTTCTTCCGATTTTCTCCCTCGTCTGTGTACAAAAACATGATATCGTTTATAAAAACATGATAGAAACTAGCACGAGATTACTTAGTAGACATTAGCATACATAAAAATACACGCATACTTCTTGTTTAAAGGTCAAAACTGAATTACTTTTAATTGTTCAATTGCATATCATTCGATGTAACGTAATTTACGTCATTGAATAATGATGATAATACGATGGCGTTTGTGAATTACTATGAAAAGACATTGCCCAAGGACGAAAATTGTGTGGCAGTTTGGAATTCATTCAGAGTATCTCACAGAACTTCAAATTCATTGGAATCTTGGCATAAAACAATATCAATTGAAAATAAAGACAAACATCCAAATTTAGTAGTTTTTAGGATTTCTTGCAGTTTTGCGCATTTGTTGTAACAAAAAATGTACAATATTTGTTTAAATGTGTGGTCATTAAAAATTAATCAATAATAAGTAAGAAAATATTTTCTGTTGAACTTGGAATGGAAAGGCGGAACAATAATCAAAAAGTGAATTCAGACTATCCACCCCGTTTAGGGTGGATAAACGGAATAACCCGTCAGAATTTTAGTAATATTGAACATTGCGCAATAATACAGTACTTCGTAAAGAAACGATAAACGCCGAAAGGCTTTTGAAGGCATGTCATCAGTTCGTCTGGAATCTGAACCTTCATATACCATGAACATAAAGTGGGCTCGCTTATTGTTGCATGTGGGTGTTTTGAGTAATTCCTTCACTTCTATTCCTCTTTATATTCTACTCTCTATCCCCGACATATAATAATGTTACCTAAATATTCATACATTATGCAGTACATCTATGAAATACATTAACTTCTTTCACTTACAGGGAACGCAAAGGTTTCTTATTATGTTATAACCATAACATTGACTAATTAGACACCTGTATAAGAGTATATGATAAGAATGCGAGGTTATTAATGTTATTATTATTTTCCCAAAAGTTACTTCTATTTCACTTATGGGAAATGTGAAGGTTTTGTTATTGTAATTACATTGATAAGATGAATTTAGTATATGTATTCCATTTAATTTACAGTAATAATGTTGTTTTTCCAAAGGTATGCAGCCAACTCACAGTATAGCTGATACACATGCGTTAGTAACTGCAGTTGGAACAGGAAAGGGGCTAAGACCTGGCATGCCTTCCATTGTACCGCAAGGAGTAGGGGCTCCAGGCATGGGACCTTCACGTGGGCCTGCGCCACAACTTGGTCCAGCTGCACCTGCCATGCCTAAAGCACCTTCAGCTATTAAAACAAACATTAAAGCAGCTAACCAAATACACCCATATCAGCGATAATCATAGAAGTGTTTTTGATGTAATAAGGTATTAAATAAATAAAATTAAACACAGTAATATTATTTCATTACGAAATTTTATTTTGTTATCGGCAGAGTTATTTAAAGCTAAAACAAAAGAACTAAAAATAGTAATAGGTAAGGAATTCTTACATTAAATGCTTAAGTTAGAAGTTCAATGAAAGACCAAGAAGTACTATAGTAAATATAATATACTATAGTAAATCTATTAATAAAATAACATTATTATCGAGCTGAAGCTACAATTTAACATAAATTAATACTTTGTTAAATAGTGTCAATGTTACTTTCAGTTTACAGTATTTACCTGAAACAAAAAGTTAATATTACATTATTATTTATTGTTCATTAAATATATGTATAATCAGATATTTGCTTGATTAATTATCACTACTGTTATTGTATGATTAATTTATGTATGTATTATGGCAAAGTTATTTTATATTGCAGCCCAATGGTTTATTCATATAGTCAGTTAACTTCATGACTAGTCTCACAAATACCTGCCTATTCAGTGAAATTCAGTATGACGTGTTTTTTATTTTATTTTGGACTGAAAGTCATTCCTTCAGTTATAGATGAATCAATAACCACAAAGATGAATTTCTATTTTTCTTTTGAGCTGCTCAACACCATTTTACAAGAAAACTATGAGTGTTAAATGCTAAGGTGATGAAAGGGACCTTTTCCTTTTTACGTAAAATTAATCGTGTCTGAAGTTGAGAATTAGAGCGTGCGCTGGAAATGTATTACTTAATTACGTATGTCGGCATGTCGAGAACAAAAGGAAACCGATAGGTTTCCTTTTGTTCTCGACATACCACACATTCGAACCAAGCTATTTCCTTCGTCCTGATGAGTGAGTCACAGGTGAGTTCTCATCTCTGAGGATAAAGATGGAATGCTTCACAGCCTGTAATTATACTGGTTCTCTATACCCTCCAGACTGGAACACAGCAGTGCAAAGCATTGTTTTCAAGGATACAACTAGCAGTGCTCTGCTATTTGTCGGTAGAAATAGATCTGAGGGCGGTACGAACCCAGACAGACTCCTAGGTAGAATAGGAAAGTAAAACAATTAATAGAAAGTGAAACAATCTTGAAAAAAAAAACAAGAAATATCATTGTATAAAAATCGATTGTGTATTTGTGGCGACCAGTTATGGAGTATAAGGTTATGCAAATAAGGTACCTGATGGTAAGTCCGTCGCCGGAATAAACAAATAAATCACGGTTAGACAGTTATATATTTCACGGCACAACACAGAAACAGTCTCACATGAAGAAGCAGAAGGCGATAGATAAGATTACATTTTTACGTCCTTAAATTTACCATAGTTCAGGTGAAGGCGTATAACCAGATACCAATCTTTGAGGCAGACATTCCAAATTCCGCCATTACGACACCTTTTGGACTCTTCGAGTTCCCATATATGACGTTCGGACTGCGCGGAGCTAGTCAGACGTTCCAGAGGTTCGTTGATGAGATGACCCGTGGTCTAGATTTTTGTTACCCATACCTTGACGATTTTCTTATATTTTCACGCGATGAGTTAGAGCATGAAAAGCACCTTCGTCAAGTATTTACAAGGATGAAGGATTATGGCATGCTCATCAACACCGCTAAATGCGTTTTCGGTGCATCAGAGGTAACATTTCTAGGCTACCACATCTCACAACATGGAACGAAACCTCTGGAAGGTAAAGTTCAGGCTATAAAGGAGTACCCTGTTCCTAAGACAGCCAAACAGCTTAGGAGGTTCTTGGGCATGATAAACTTTTATAGGAGGTTTATCCCCCAAGCTGCCAAAATCCAAGCACCCTTGAACGCCTTATTGACTGGCGCTGTTAAAGCATCGCATCCGGTCAATTTAAATGGAGACTCGTTGAAAGCCTTCGAAGAGTGCAAGGAAAGTTTATGCAATGCAGCATTGTTGGCACATCCGGACTCAAAAAGCAAAGCTAGGTCTTGAACTGACGCTTCTGATCTTGCAATAGGTGGAGTCTTGCAACAGCAAATTGGTGGTGATTGGCAGCCCCTAGCCTTTTTCTCTCGTAAATTGAGCCCGTCGCAAAGGAAATACTCACCATACGATAGGGAGCTCCTTGCTATTTACGAGAGCATTAAGTACTTTAGAGATTGGCTAGAGGCAACACCATTAACCATCTATACCGACCATAAGCCGCTGTGCTTTGCATTTCGCGAACGAAAGACAAATTGCAGTCCACGGCAATTTAGGCATCTAGACTACATATCACAGTTCTCAACCGACATACAACACATCGCCGGGAAAGATAATGTCGTTGCTGACACGCTTTCGCGGGTTGAGCAGGTCGATGAACTGCTAAGCCCTGTAGATCTAGATGTCATTGCCAAGGCTCAAGACTCCGATCCTGAATTTGCAGATTTGTTAAGGCAGGACACTTCCTTACTAGTTCAAAGAATAAAGATACCTGGTAGTCGTAATGAACTGTACTGCGACGTCAGCACAACGACTCCCAGGCCTTTAGTCCCTATAACCTTACGCAAGCGAATTTTTGATAGCTTGCACTCGCTAAGCCATCTCGGCGCTAACGCTAGCGCAAAACTTGTGGCAGAACGCTTTGTCTGGCCACTGATGAGGAAAGACTGTCGCGAATGGTCTAAGGCGTGTTTGGCATGCCAGCGCACAAAGGTAAATCGACACGTTTCGACACCTTTTGGTACGCTCGATTTACCTACGGCGCGATTCAAATACGTCCACTTAGACCTTATCGGACCTTTACCTCCGTCTGGTGATTATCGGTACTGTTTGACAGCTGTCGATCGCTTCACGCGATGGACTGAAGCTGTACCACTAAAGGATATCACCGCGGAATCAGTGGCTAAAGCGTTTTTATCGGGATGGATAGCGCGGTTCGGTTGCCCTACCGATATTGTTACCGATCGCGGTAGGCAATTCGAATCAGCACTATTCGCGCAGTTATCAAGGTTCATTGGCTTTAAGCACCGCAGGACTACCAGCTATCACCCTCAATGCAATGGTCTCGTCGAAAAATTTCATCGGCAATTAAAAACAGCAATCATGTGCCATGCCGATAGCAGTTGGACTGAAGCTTTGCCAATTGTGCTTCTCGGCATAAGAAGCTCTTTCAAAGAAGATCTTCAGTCTTCCTCAGCCGAGTTAGTATACGGCGAGCCATTGCGACTTCCTGGTGAATTTTTTGGCCACAAAGTTGACAAATGTACGACTGACATAACGGACTTTTCAGCCCGTATCAGATCATTTGCCAATAAATTACAGCCAGTGCCAACTTCACACCATGCGAAAAACAAAATCTTTATTTATAAAGATCTAACAGCTTGTTCGCATATTTTCCTCAGAGAAGATAGTTTGAGAGGTGCGTTACAACCAGCATATACTGGTCCTCACGAGGTGGTTGAGAGAAATGAAAAAACTTTTAAAATCAGAGTAAAGGGCAAAGTCGTGACAGTATCGGTAGACCGACTGAAACCAGCCTACATACTGTCCCATTCCAATGACCCCACTCCAACCCCTTCTCCACCACTTAAACCAACTCCTAATCCCACACCCACTCCACTTCCAAATAGCAGCCCATCGCCAACAACTGCGTGCAAAACAACTCGTTCTGGGCGCAGAGTACATTTCCCAGATTATTATCGCCCGTAGACACACACACAGTCTATACCCGTAGATATACGTACACACAGTCTCTGGAGGGGAGTGATGTGGCGACGCACACATTTATTTATTTTATTTAAAGATATGATTATTATTTCACAGATATGTATGTATATAATTTAATATTAATATTATAATATTCATTATATTTATATTTATCTATAATACAATTACAGCCACACACACATATATATTATACTATTTCTATTTATTATAGTAAATTTTATTTTAGTATTGTATTATAGTATAATTCTCGGTGCCGGCCGGTCGAAGTACATTGGAAACAAAAATTCGTTTTAATTATTATCAACACCGTGTACCTGAGTACTTTGCCTACGTCGCGATATGTTCAACGACCAGCCAGTCGCAATCTAATCATCTGACGCGAATACTGTGCCGCTTGCGCCTACGCCGAACTTTGCCCTTACGCATAACTAATATTATTTGAGTGTTCTTTGCTATTTTATGCAAGTGACTGTAAACTGTGCTTCCTGCTATCATCTCTTATCTATTTGTAATCTTATCTATCGCCTTCTGCTTCTTCATGTGAGACTGTTTCTATGTGTTGTGCCGTGAAATATATAACTGTCTAACCGTGATTTATTTGTTTATTCCGGCGACGGACTTACCATCAGGTACCTTTATTTACATAACCTTATACTCCATATATTTATACAAACAATAATGCACGTGAGTGACGAATTGATTTGTCCGTAGAATAAATGAGCATAGAGCAACACGGGCCACCGGCGGATCGGAAGGGTAGCCATACGTAGGTGTCCCCTCTGTCAAAGTATAAGTCCATGCGTACAATAAAACTAGTCGCAGCCGCACTGCTCGCTAGACTAAATCTAGTTCCACGGCTGAATCGACGTCCTACAAAAATGCCGAATTGTTCAGTGTTTTGCTACAAAAAGACGCAACCGCATATTTACAAAGAGATGGCGATACCTTTCTTATACTAAGTAACTTTTAATCACATTATTGCTTTTTTTTTAAAACAGTAAAGATTGTGTTGTTTCGGATTTATTTACCAACATAGACCGCCCGCCATCATACAATATGCGGATCGGTCGAGCGACTGATTGGAGTCTGTACCTGAGTTGTCGCTGTCACCGGGCAATACTGTTATAATGTATCTGCGCGTGAGTGAAATTGTTAGTTCATTGTTTTAATCGTAATATGTGAGTATCGTAGTGGTAGACGATTGTTATGATGTGCGCAGATTTCCTCCGCAAAATATGTATCGGGGAAAAACGCTAGGGCTACTCTCTTTCGGTCCACCAGCAGCCCGTGT